ATGAGTGAAACCATCTGGTATTTTTCTTTCTTTCTGACTTATTTCACTAAGCATGATTCCTTCCAGCTCCATCCATATTGCTGCAAAAGGCATGAGTTTATCTTTTTTGATTGCTGAGTAATATTCCATGGTGTATATATACCACATCTTCTTAATCCAGTCATCTATTCTGGGGCATTTGCGTTGATTCCACATCTTCCCTATTGAAAATAGAGCAGCAATAAACATGGGGGTGCAGGTATCCTTTTGAAATAGGGTATTTGTATCCTTTGGGTAGATTACCTAGGAGTGGGATTGCTGGGTCATATGGAAGTGCCATTTTTAGCAGAAACCTCCATACAGCTTTCCATAGTGGTTGTATCAGTCTGTATTCCTACTAGCAGTGTAGGAGAGTTCCTTTCTCTCCATATCATGGTATGAGAAGGTATCTCACTGTGGTTTTAATTTGCATCTCCCTTATTACAAGTGATGTTGAGCATAAAAATATGGAACACTTCACGAGTTTGCATGTCATCCTTATGCTAATCTTTTCTGTATCATTCTGATTTTAGTATATTATCTATTGATTTAACTTTACCTCAATGTTTTCTAACTATGGACACCTAGGCGGCTGCTGAGACTAATAATATAAAAGTCTTTGTAGACAAAGGTTGGGGATTTTTTTTGTATGGGAAAAACTTAGACTCCTAGGGAGGGACCAGTGTCTGTCTTGGTTTATAAGAAACCACCAGGGTGTGTTCCAAAGTGGCTCATAGTAGAATTCTTCAAATCTTTGCCAACATTTACTGACAGACATTAATTGCAGCTATTCTAAAAACTGTGTTCTGTTGAGTTAACTGGTAAAGATTTTTTAAATCTTGTGTTTTTTTAAACAATTAAGCCACAAATACCCGTATTTTGGGTGTAGTATGTGAAAAGCAAGCAAACACATTTTTTTTAAAAAGAACTAAAGCTGTATTAAACTAAGCAAATAGCAAGGGGGCTTAATGCAGAGTTGCACCAAATCAGCAGCTGCAATTGCCACAGCTCTGTCTGAAACATTCAGCAAATGACAGCAAGACAGAGCCACCAGAAAGAGACACCTGATTTCCGTGACAAATACCGGGATGCTGCACGAGCTACTGCAGCTGCTGACTGTGCTCTGTGTGGTCATAACAGCACAAGCCGAGCAGAACAGAACCTGCCCCTTGGCAGAGTCACCCCAAAGGGATGGAGAGATCAGTAATCACCCAGCTGGTGTAACAGTGTATTGCTTCAGAATCAACTCAGGATCGATGCCAAGTAAATGCAGTGTCCCATTAAATACAGCATTACTGAAGAAGTAAAATACATTTGAAATTTAAAAATAATAAATATGTAATTCTTGTATCATTAAAAAATGAAAGTATTTCTCCTGTGATATAACACATATATTACTGAAAGACTACATACCACAAAACTAGGGAATTAAAAAAAAAACAAGGTATATAAGAAAAACAAGGGTGGAACACAACTAATAGCCCATGTGGCCTTATAAACAGAGGGCTCACAAAAGAATCATAACAATTTTAATAAAAGCAATAGCTTAATTAAGTCACCACAGGCATTTAGCGCAAGATTCACTATCAGATGACTCCTTTTAGCCTTAAATACCTAGACACTTTTTCCTTGTTTGTAAGGACATGCAACTTCCAAGATAGATTAGCCTTACCCAAACTAAGTATAGATCAGGGGTGGCTAAGTCCATCAGTTGAGGAATGTCTTCACAGCTGTTCTCACAGCTTCATGATCCTACCACTGTAAAAGTGAAGCAGTTCACGAATCCACCAAACTACCCATTTCTTCCCCTAAAGGAAAGTTTATTTCTGCAAAATTTGCAGCTTCTTAAAATAGTCACACTTTCTCTGTAATTGTGATCACTTCTTTGCTCAGCCCAGAACCTTAAGAAGGTGGAGGAATTTGCAAATGAGCCAGGACTAAGAAATTTCCACTTTACACAGATACTTCTCTATCTGTAGGTGTGTGTGCAAATTTGAATTAAAGAAGCATGTCAGGAAAACAAACTGCAAGGGAAAAAATCCATTTCAGAAAGAAACCCAAAACTCATTGAATTTAACTCTTGCTGGCATTTTGTCCAGTCTCATTTTTTTGGTTATACTATCAGTAGTTTCTATTTCTCTTAAAGATTTTTTGGGTCACCTTTATAAACCCAGGAAAACTCAAATTTCCTTTACTATCCTGAGATAAGCTTCTCTGACTTTTCCAAATTTAGCAAAAATCAAAACACAAACTGGGTTTTTTTTTTACAGGAATTCAGAAGCAGGTGAAAAGCAACTAATAGGTGCTGCCTGACTTCCAAGGTCTTAGAATCATTTTATAAGATAATATGCAGAATCCTAGATAGCAGTCTTTGAATGCTAATTAGACTTTAACTTTTTTTTATATTCCTCAACCTTTTAAACTGTTATTCAGGTATTAAATGCTATTCCAATGTTAGATTCCCATTATAGTAGTCACATTACAATTAAATCAAAGATTACTTTAAATTTGGTGCCCCCTATAACTGTAATCCATTAGTCAAAAATTACTCTTCACTATTACTACTTTGTAGAAATCTCCTTCCCCTCCTGACACTATTTAAGAACAGCACGCCAGAACTTCTCCAGTTCTAAGCCCAGCCTCCAAAAGCATCTGTGTGAAAAGTCATGTTTACTTAATATACAAGATGACCCCATAGTACTGGGGGGCAAGCGGCAGGTAGGCAGCTGGCAATACCCAAGGCAGAGTGAGAGGCCTTCCAGAAGACAAATGTTTACGGTGTCTTCCCACCTCATGCTCACGTGTATCCCTGAGGGCATGTTAATAGCTTCAGGGCATATGCACCAAGGAATGTCTGCACAGCCTCACACAGACTGAACATGGATCTTCAGGAGGAGAGCTACAAATTATGCTTTAGTAGCACAAACTGACACAGATATTTTTAATATGCAAAAAGCTAATAATGCCATTTATGCTGAGAAAAATAAATTATTCATGAACACTAATTTCTACAAAAACAATCAGCCAGCGCATGTATAAATTTGGGGAGAATATCTCCTACTAAAAACACCTCCCAGTACAGTGGGTGCCACACTCAGCACTCCCACACGGCACAGCAGACCTCTCCTGACCTGCCCGCGCTCCCCTGAGGAGTGTACTCTGTCAACCTGCCTGTTCTGCTCCTCACCCTGTCTCTGGTGAGTCCTCTCAACGTCCATGCACCTCTGGCCTGTACCCCAGTTCTGTATGCATAAACAATCTTAAAAAAAAAAAAAAGATGTGTGCGTCTAGGTTCTTTTGGAATCAAAAAAATCACAGGTCAGGAGGATTTAATTTACAATGTCCTTTCAGTTCTCAAACCTTTATATTTGTTCCTTTTATATTTTAACTATTTTTTAAAATTTCAGACTTACAGAAACCCCCATTTACCCTTAAAATCAGAGTCTGAAAATGTTAACAATGCAGAAGAGCTGTCCCTTTGCCCTTAGACACACTGTATGTTCAGTGTAAATATAGTAATGCTCATGACCTCCTGGGTGGCTCAACTGGTTAAAGCGAAACACCGTGAAATATCTGCAGCCACTGCAGCGCAGCGCGAGTTTGATACTGTCATCTAGTCTACAAAGTCCACTGAGGTGTTTCCAGAGTAAGTTCTTGTATAACAGAAGCTGACCCTGAGCATGAGTTGCATGTGGTGTGCAGCTCTCTATAGACACCTTTAATCTGGAATTTCTTCAGTTTTGTTTTGCCTTTTACTCCATAGACATTTTTTGTTGTTTTTAAAGATTTATTTACTTATGCATATAGAACTGGGGTATAGGCCAGAGGTGCAGGGGTGGTGGGGAGCAGAACAGGCAGATGAAGTCCACTGCTGAGAGGAGCAGCGGGCAGTCAGGAGAGGTCTGCCGCACTGTGTGTGTCAGCTCCCTGGCTGGGGATCGAACCTGCACTGAAGCGGCTGCGGCCAGCTTGCGTTGCTGCGTCCTACCCCGTTGCCCACCAGGGAGGGCCTAAATAGACATTTTTTAAGCCAGGCTATGAGAGGTTGTGTTTCCCGGCACAGTGTCACAGCGGTGATGCCAGGTGCTGCTTGCTCAGAGCAGCCGTGGGGACAGGGACGCCAGCCAGCCCGACGGGTCTGGATCCGATCGCTTGGCACTGACATCTCAGTGGTTTCTCCACTCTCAAGTTACTAAGTATTTTTTTGTAATTAATTCTCTTAAGGGGAAATGCTTTCAAACTATGTCAGTCTCAACCTTCCACTTTTCTTCTACCTGTTAGTTTTAACACAATTTTCCCCTTAATTCCCTGCTTTTCAGAGTTTTCTAATTTTAGCTTGAAGCTTCTTTTATCCACAGTCAGGATCTCCTCTGCTCTGAGCCCTCTGCATAGCTGAGCTCTCAGAGCACACACCCACCACCTCTGAGAGAGAACTACAAACAGACACCCACTAGGATGGGAAAGCAAACTCCCTTTCATGGGAAAGCAGCAGTGAGCGCTTGAGGAGTCTGAGCTGGCAGTGGAGGGCTCGACGGCGTCACCCCGTCTCCGGAGCTCTGGAAACCACGACCCAATACTCCACAGCGTCACATATTAGAATTCTGTGTCTCACAGTTTAAAGAACACATTTCAGAAAGTAACACATGTCTACTAATAACATAAGCCCTTCATCTTAAACATTTTCTTTGAAATTTTAGTGATTTTAAGTATGTCAAAAGTTATCACTTTGTCAGAAAAGACACTCCCCCCAGCCCACACAAAACACAAGATTTCTCAAGTGAATTTTTATTTCCTCTCTTTTTCACACACCACCACCACCACCACCACCACCACCACCCCCCAAAAAAAACTTAAAACTTCTTTTTCCGCCCCTACTCAAGACCTGGACCCTACACTGGAAGCAGCCTGGTGAGATCAGGTGACAAGGGGAGGGAGGGAGGATGGGCGCCCTCTAGCCCTAGGTCCTAGAAAGCTGTCCTTACCTGCTGAGGGAAACAGGTGCGGACAGAGTGCTCTGTGTAACCAAAAGATGGCCCTTCAAAGACAGCTGTTGGGAGCTTCAGAACTTCCTTCAGAAACTGGTCAAACTTGCTAAATATCATTAAGCCATTGGAATCTGACATCTGGGAGAAAACATCTATGAGAACAAAACCAAATAAAGTCAAACTATAAAGAAATGTTCATTTTTTAATAACGGTTCTATGTCTGTACCACAGTCAAAAAGTAGCATAAAAAGTATCAAAGCCAGAAAGAGTTTCAGTTAATATGTAATTTCATTCTTATTAACACTGTGTGATTATTTTACTGATAAGGGCCCTCTTCTACCCACTTAATATTTCACCAAAACAGGAAATCAAACAGCCATTCATGGCTGTCTACCTATCTACCTACTGAGCCCTACCACGTGTGCATAACTGAAACACATAACTTTCTATTTATTGATATTTCACATTTCTCCATGGAGAATTTGTAGCCGCATACCTTTATCTCTTAGCATTTATAAACATGTTTATATAGGATGGTGTGCTCAAGGGTAAGCATACTGGTGAAAGAGTATGAAAGAAACTGTATTATATGTGTATATCCATATGCTAATGATGTCAGTTACACCTGTGAGGGAATTAATTTGACAGACACATAGGGCATGTTTAAAATGTTCACTCAGTGATTTCCATAGTAGAACATCAAAAACTCATAAAAACTCTTCTATCCCAATATACTTTGATATCATAAGAGACTATTTTTACATAAAGTCTAACACAGCAGATGAGATGGAAGTTTTCAGTATTATTACTATTTTTAAAACTTTTTTTTTTTTTTGGTGATTTTTCCATATCGAGTTAGCTATTCTTTTCTTTCATCCATAGTTTGGGGGCAGGAGGAGTGAAAAATAACTAGAAGCTCAAAAAAGACATGTAACCTTAACTTTTTTTCAAACTATTGAACTTTCTTACAAATGAATCAATGAATTAAGTGTGGACAGAAAATAATTTCCTGAGACCTTTCCAAACAGAATTTTGAGAAGTCATATTTATTCATAATGAACAGGAATACAGAAGTATAACATTTTTACATATACGAGAGAGAGAAAGAGAAATACAGAGAACACATATTTCAATTCCTGGAGTTCTAGGTGCAGAAAAAGACATGTAACATATATTAATCAAAGAAAGATAATGTCAGATTATCAACTACATGGGGTTATGTTTAAGGCATTAAAAAGCAGGTAATTCTCAAAGGTCTGAAAATCATCAGCATATCCTCTCATTATAGCTGCTAGTTTAAATTAAAGAGAAAAGACTAAATGCCCATACATGCAGGGAGAATCCAGTAAGAGACTAAAGGAAGTCTGGTCCTGGGGCAAGAGCAGCGAATGCACTGGCAAACACACACTAAGTCCCTACTGTGCGGTCTGAGTGCCAAGCACTCTGCCAGAGCTTTCAAAACACAACAAAGAAGTAAGATATGGTTTTCATCCCCCAAGAAACTGTCCGTGTAGCTGGGAAAACTGCATACATATGAAGCAAAGAAAAATGACACACAAACTGGCTCTAAACAGAACAGAGAGAGGAGAGGCAGGGGACACTGGTCAAGCCGCACTACGGGTCTGCCACTACCATAGTGAACTGTTGCTGACTCTGCCAGCAGTCACCCAAAGTCATGACTCCCTTCTCCCTTAATAAGAGAACATTAATTTTGTTTTGTACTGTGACATAGCCAACTAAGAAATTAAACTTTTCAGCTTCCGGTTAGTAACCATATGACTAAGTACTGGCCAATGAGATTATAAACAGGATTGTGAGGGCCTTTCAGGAAAATGGTCTACTAAGAAAGATGACGAAGCTGGAGAGGCCCTTTCTCCCTTTGCTACCTGGAATATCACCATGGCAGCTGGAGCTCCGGCAGCCACCTTACACTGGAAGGTGATCTCAGCTTTGACGGAAGTCACGCACTAGAATGGCAGGAAGGGGAGAGAGAGCTTAGGTCCTGGTAACATGCAGCTGCCATGCCAGCCTGCACCCCTACCCCTTTACCTGTTTACACAAAGATGCTATAATCCTGGGTTTTTATATTCAAGCAATCCCTAATATTTAGCGCTACTATACTTCATTAAATATTATCTATTCATTTAAATTTAAATTTTATTGATAAGGAAACTATCTTTGAAAGGTTACTTGTTTAAGGTTAAAAGAGTCACTAACAAGTAGCTGAATCAAGATTTAGAAGATACACTTATTCCACTCTAGAGAAATTCCATTATACCACACTGATTCAAAAGTAATTTAGGATAGGGACAAAAAAATAAAAGCAGGAATTATCCAGAAAGTTTTAAAATAAAGGAACTTAGAAGCAAGGTTTTGAAAGTAGGATTTAGATCTTGACATCAAATCAGTTAGGAGTGGAGACTGGGAGCACAACAGAAGAAGAGGAAGATGAAAGTCTGCATCGTGGTGGGGGCGGGGGGATGCAGGGAACAGGGCACTATAGAGGACAGTCTCTGAGAGAAGCTGACATTGAGAATAAAGAGAACCAAGGATTGAAAAGTATCTATAATGAGAAAAAAGGTCGAAAGCACAAAGCAATTTGGATTTGGTTTAAAAACTCTTAAGCAGAGAAGAAATAGGTAGAAAGCCAGGTTACAAGATCATTGGGCTGTTAGTGACTGGCAGAAATAATAAAAGGAGAAAAGGACTGGAGATAACAGTTGGAAACCTTAGACAGACCCAGAGATGAGGCACGAGCGTGTGGCCCACAGCCGCGACTATATCACATCAACTCAAACACATCAATGCAGGAAAACGCAGGGGAAGGCAGACCGGACTAGGAAATGGATTTTTACGTGTACAACTTTGAAAAACAATGAAAAAGTTACAGAAGCTAACTTCCATTTTTGTTTTCTTTCAATAACAGAAGAATTCATGCAGGAAAAAACATACCCAGCTGTGAACATAACATGAGTATCTGCCTCATCAGCACCGTTCCAGGGCCTCCACCCCCAGACAGAAACAGACTGCCGGCCAATGCAGAGCAGAGCGGCAGCCGGAGCACTCCCAGAAGGCTCGTGAGCAGCAGAGTCCACGAAGAGCAATGTTTGTAGAAGGAAGCGCACAGTGGCTTAATTTTTAAATAACTGATTGCGGTTTTTAAAATGAGCAAAATAACCATCCATCAAACCTGGATGGAAACACTGGGCTCACACAGGACACGGCACACTGCCAGGTGCCAGCTTCTCGATACCCACCTGACCTCACCACCCCTGACCTCCGACCATATTCGAAAGGCAATATGCGTCACTAAAAAAGTGACTTCCGGCCTTTTCTGCACACTAAGTCTGAGCAGGTTTCTGGAAAAGTTTTTACTGACTTAATAGAGGCATCTTTTTCTTTTCACTGCTCAGACTGGGTCCACTGGGCTGTGGCAGATCAGTGCTGACCCAACCAGGAAAGCACAGGAGGAGGGAGCCCCAGCCTTGCAGGCATGGCACAAACTCTGACCTTACAGCCACGGCTTATTTTTACATAAGGAAAAAAAAAGAAGAAGAAGAAATCCAACGTGTTTAAGTCACTGTCAGCCAACCTCTCTGTTGCTGCTTGCTGTGCTCATAACTAAATAAACCGGCAAAGTACTGACTTGTGGCCTCTGCTGTGGAAATATTCAAGACCAGAGTCTTTAGCCACCAAGAGCACGAGATCACAGATGCTCGGCTGCCCGGTGGAGAAGGCGTGTGCACCCACACTGACAAGTCTGCACCTGGGGTTCACTGAAGAACTGCCCCATCCATCAAAAAGAAAAGTATTATTTTTAGCTACATTTAGTTATTATGTTATAGATAACAGATTCAAAGTGGTAAAAAATTACTTTTTCATTCACGAAAAAAGAAACTGAAATAGGGCTATGTTATAAGAGAATGAGGAAAAACATGTTTGTTGGACTGTTAACTTGTTTTAATAAGAAAAAATATTTCACCTTACATGAAGTATGACAATAAATCTAGGTATAATTTACTACATATATAAAAGAATGATCTTACCAAAAAATTAACAAGACAATAAAATTTAATGAAAATATCCAAAAATTAAACTAGCCCTCTAATTAAAGGCTTAAACCCTCTGGCATTAAGGGCCTAAATTATTTCCCAGATCACTGGTTAATTTCCCCAGTAATTTTCTTTCTATTTATACACCTCTGAAAGAAGGTATATTAATTCCCCCATTAATTGTTTCCAGATAAAAATGTAGGCTTTCTCCCTAGTGAAAAACCCACAATCAGTCATTAAATGCACACATGTACACATTTTTTAAAATATTCTGCCCTTCGTGGAATGGCAAACTAATGCCACTACCATCATCACAGTTCTTTTGTTTTGGTGGTAAGACCCCCGGTTTTGCTCATCGCACCTGCCCATCTACCCACTCCCCTTTCATTTTCACAGAGCCCACCACCTACCTGCGCAAGAGTTAAGACTTTTTATAATAGGGTCAACCTAGAAATAGACAGCCATTTTCTTTTGTTACTTTTCCCTTACAAATAACTCTCATCTCTTGTCATCTTTCTATCAACTCAGCAACCTAGATCACAAAAACATACACACATCTGTATGTTTATGAATACCTAACTGTAAGTAACTCCAAGTGCCTAGCTTATTCCCAGACTCATGAGTACTCCCACAACATAAGTGTTGGGTGTAGAGGGGCTGGAGGATGGGACTCGGTCTGTGTCGGGTTCCATTGTTGACTCCGCCAGGAACCACCTGAGACAAGGCTCCAGGCCTCTCTTGGTTCTTGTTTGTTTTTCTTATTCATAAAATACAGATTTGGGCCTTATCTCTTACTTGCATCCAGTTCTAAACACTTTGGTTACCTAAGAAATGTAAACGTGGACATCACTCCTTCAGGCTCAACATCCGCTTCTGGCTAATGAGCAAGCGGGTGACTAACAGAACCAGCAGGGACACTAAAGCCTGGAGCTGGGCGGCCAAGTTCTGACCAGGTGAAGCTACTTATCACTTCAAAGGCTGGCCCTCTGCAGTTGCCAAGGAGATCAGAACAGGAAAGCCTCAAGTCATCTTCTCCCTGGTTACTGATTGTGGTCTATCACAAACCTAACTATATAAAGGCTGATGTTATAAAACATCTTTATGCTGCCACCCCGAGACTATCTATTATTGTATCTGTATACTTTGTTCTCTCTCCATTTGCATAGCAAATTACTTTAACACATGTAAGCATTTTGAACAGAAACTTAATTGCACAGGCATTGTATTTAAGAGTCAAGTATCCCCAAAATGTAACTGAGTTCTTACTTATAGACACTAAGGATGTTTCACATTTTCAAGTATTATGAAAAGTTTGCCACAAATGAACACACAACTCATGGCGCCCCCCATTAACGCTTCAGGTAAATTCGGCCAGTTTATGTCAGTGATGTGGAAGTCCTTACAGTATCCCTGACACATACTGTTAGACTGTCCTGCAAAATCACAGTATCAGTTTGTAAAAGAAGTTTCAAATAAATTGCAAGAATCAGCCATCCTGATCTTTTGGTGCAACAGGTGAGCTCTGAATAGGAGGTAACAACGAGCAGAATTAGCCAAGTAATACATCACATAAATTAGCTAACAATAAAGTATGATGTAATAAATAATGTCTATAAATTTTGTTCTCTGAGACTTTAGGGATGAGGATTGAAATTACTGAGTCTTAATCATGCTTGTAACTAAAGTCAGTATTCTGATAAGTCCCTGGTAATTGGAATTCCAGCTTACCTTTGAAGCAAAGATACAACCCGTAAGAGCTACAACAATGAACCATTTCTACAAAGGAATGACAGACGCCTACGCACAAAACTCTCTCAAAAGAGATCTGAAAAGTTCAATAAAGAAATGTTTCAAACCAAAAACACAATAGTTAAGTCACTGCAAATACTATCTTGACACTAAAAAAAGTAAACAAGAAATGGGAAGAAAATTACAGGAAAAAAATCTAAAACAAAAGGCAAAATGCAGAAAGATCAAAATAAAAGAAGAAAAGGTAGAAACACTACAGCATGCCCCTAAGTCAGAAAACCTAGTTCAATGGGAAGCTGAGGGAAGTGTCACCAGCGGAACGAGGCGGAGAGTCTGAGAGCAGAACGGAAGGAGCAGCGAAAGACAGTGAGCAGGTGGCCAGACATCGCCAAAAGGGCTGAGGCAGCGTCACCGCTCTCACATCCTGGCTGCTCCTCAGTCGCCTCAGCTATGCTGGGCAGAGCTGAGAAGAGAAAGCAGGGGAGAAAGGGGGTTCTCATAGTCGCCAAGATGACACAGCTCGAGCGCTTCTTGCACACATTTGAGTAACCACTTCTGCCCACAGTTGCAGAGATGCAAGAGCACAGTGACAGTAAATGAGAAGTCAAGAGCTTTCCAGAGGCTGGTAACATCATCACATTTACCAATGACAAAGAACACACACAGCAGCAGCACCAGCACCTCCACCAAAAATTCATGAACAAAAGAAAAGCAAAATCAGGAAATGTGAGAAGGGCAAACAGCCCAGAATCTCACAATCAGCCTAAAATGCATCAGAAATGCCATCCCCAAGAGATGAGAATATTTAAATTATGACCAATGAGCTCTGTTTAAAATAAAAAGGACAAGACCATACTTAAAGTGGTTCCTGTCCTTAATGACAAAAATTTAAAAATGGAGACAGGTTTCAATAACCTGAAGCTTTGACTTATGTTGAACATCTTGCTCTAGCCAAGATAATTACAGTGCAATAAAAATAATGTAACAAAGCTACAGATGGCAAAGAAATGACAATTCTGAACAAGGAGATGATAAAGACACCATATTTGAAATCTGAGTAACATAAACATTAGTACTTAGTGACAGCGAGGCTGTCACTTGCTACAAGTAAATGAGAAGCAAAGAGTTTTCCAGTGACAGGTATTTGTCCCGAGCTGGCCATGCACATTTCTGTGCCACGTGGATATTGGTGACTTGAGTTCCTCCAAGACAACCAGAAGACACATTTTTTAAAATTGCCATGCAGATCCTTTCCACATTTTGTACAGTACTAGAAATTGTGTTTTCTCAATAACAGAGAAAACACTAGACCAAAATATTCTCGAAGATCTTTCTTTAGAGTATCTAAACCTCTAAGGAGCCATCTAGCTATGTGAGAAAAGGCACAGAAAACAAATGCGTCTATGAAGTAATCTTGCCCAAAAGCTTGCACTTGAATCAAGCTTCTGAATATCTCAATTTAGGGGGGAAAAATGTGTGCCACAGAGGGATGTCATATAACGATCAAAATCTACATGAAAAATGCTAGTGGACAGATGAACCAATTTCTCTGACACACCAGTTCAGAGGTGCAATCTCAGCACCTCACTAAACCCCACAGCTTCAACTTCATCACCTCCCTGAAACCTGCCAGTTTTCCTCTTTGGCTACTTCGACTTGGCACTTTGAACATCACACTGGGTCACGTGTGTCTCCATCCCCGCATGACAACAGTGGGCTCTAAAGTTAGACAGGCTGAGAAATCCCAGCTCTGCCCTCAGTTAACTCTTCTATAAGACAGAGGAAAATACCGCTACTACGCAAAGACATGTGAAAGTCTCAGCAGGAAGGTATACATACAGCACCTGGCACAATGCTTGCCATGTCTCAGGCAGTGAGGAGCCAACTTGCGAATAAATGAAAATCATAAACAGAAATATTAAATACTTATCTTTGATTTTATCTAAGCAACTTCTCAGGGCATCTAGTGAATAATGAAATGCCAAAACACCACAGAAGAACAAATAAGGGAAGATCGTTAAAAAAAGGTTACTGGTTTCCAAATCATTGAGCCTGATGTAAAGGGAATGGGGAAGAGTTTAACCACAGCACGTAGCTACCCCTGACAAGAAATATAGGTACTAAGAAAAGGCTACACTTGACCAAACCTGGTGAAGTAAATTTATTTTCTAAGTGAGCAACATAATCATCTTGAAGCACAATCCTTAATAATATCGAAAACATGTTTTAAAACCATTAATATCAACATTTACTCTGAATGTCCTCAGTTTTATTTTAAATTAAAAAAAAAAGCACTAACAAATTAATTCACCAACTTGTGCATCTGAACAGTAGGTGGCATGACTTACATACTCTGAGCCAGCCGCTGCAAAGTGAGCCAAGTGATAGTAAAAAAAGTTAAAGTTTTAGAAGTTCAGTACAGCAGTGTCCAAAATTCTGAAAACATTCACTTAAAACTAAAGTTCTTACTTGAAAATAAAATATTTCAAATAATATGAGGATACTTACATCTCAGTTTGTCCAGCATTTTCCCACCACACATGGTTGCTAACATAGCTTTAACTGAAAATACCGTCAGCTTGCCTCGGCCCTCACTGCAAAATAAATGATATTAGAAATAATTGCGATCTGAAACCACACACACAAAAAAAACCCAAGTGTATCGCTGAACAGTGAGAAATTACAGATGCCACCTTTACAGGTTACAATATCACCACATTTAAAAACCAACCATTCTTTTTCTTTGTAGAATTAAGCTTCATCCATGCTTAGTAAATAATGCTTAAACTGAATTATTTGGAAATGCATTTTTAGAAACAGTCTGTAAAGCAGTTTCTACCGACATGTAGGCAGAGGCCAAAAAAGGATAAACCTGAAGTAAATTTCCTATCAACTTAGCCTGTGTCTACACCTGAGGTTGGACTCATTCAAAACTGCGGTTCAAACAATGATGCAGAAATGTGCCCTTGCATCAGGATGCTGTAAGAGTTTATAGCTACTAGAAAGTACACACGGCAATGAAAGGCAATGAAATGTTATGGCACAGCGGTTTTTACTGTAACACCTGGCTTTTACTGTAACAACTTTGTGGCCAAGTGTTCACTCCTAGAAGCTCATCGTCTCTCAACTCTCACACCACCACTGTGAGACAAGTGAAGGGGAAGGAACACTAATATTAATTCTTTTAGAACTGGTGAACTGCAGACCAAACGTGAATTCCCCAAGGCAGCACCCCACGCCCCGCCACAGCAAAACATCAGCACACCCCTGACCAAGGATGCCCACTGAGCTGAGCACCCAGCAACACCTGGTTTCATAGCACATGAAATCTTTACTAGCTGTTAAGTTATCATATGTAAATAAGCAATGGGCTCTTGTGCTAATTTCATGAGATTATGCTTACAGTTTCATAGTAACTTAAAAGTAAAACACCTACAGTAACGATACCACTTTGGTTTTGAAAAGCACGCGCCAGGGTCTCCCTGGTGGCACAAGGGTGAAGTCTCAGCACAGTGAAGCTGTCCACAGCCACTGCAGTGAGCTCCATCCCGGCCAGGGGGTGACCCACATGTGCAGCAGACCTGCCTGTCTGCCCGCTGCTCCCCTCAGCAGTGTTTCAGTAGACCCACCTGTTCTGCTCCCCACTCTGTCTCTGGTGAATCCACTCACCCCTGCACCTCTGGCCTGTACCCCAGATCTTGGATGCATAAATAAATAAACCTTTGAAAAAAGTATTTCATCATCTTTCCTATCTACTTTCAACCATTTCTTCCCTTCATGCCAGTTGTACAGCATCTCGACAATCCCCCACCTAACAAACCCTGCTTCTCTCCTGTCTACTGCACTCTCTTTACTATGTGTATGTGAACAAGTGTTTACCACCCACCATTTTATTTATGGTGAGAAGATATGCATCTAGTGCGAGGGAACACTCAACAGGGCACAGGGTAAGATACCCTCTGCAAAGCAGAGGGTATCTAAGTATGAGGAAGGCAGAAGTGTCTGAGGTTAAGGACCAGAGTAACTGGGAGGAGAGTAAGGATGCTGAGTGAACCCTGAGGTTTAAGAATCTGTCTGTAAGCATGAAACTGCTCCTGAGGATGGGGGCGTGGGCTCAGGCCTAACTAATCCTCCCCACTTAACAATGCTTCCCGCATTTAAAAATTGAGGTTCAAAGTTTCAACAATCAAAAGTTTTACATACCCTCCCAAAAAAATGGCATAAGAAACTTACAAGTACCTATTTAAAATCCTTACATAACAACCTAAGTGTAAATGAACATAAAGAAGTAAGCATCCGATACAATCAGTGACGGAGTGACTCAAAGTTCTTTCTCAAACTGTGGCACTGATAGTTTTCTCTCCAAAAACAAGGTCCCACACGTAGCCCCCAGCTCTCAGTTACTCCTCCTGTCGGCTAAACTCGGCCTTTACTCCCGCTTGCATACTTGCTTCCCCGTGAGGCCAACACTAACTGCCCCAAAGCCAAGGGAAAATGTTACCTTTACCTTTCTAACAATTCATAGACACGCCTGCATTCTTCCTCTACAATTAGAGGCAGCAGTAAGAAACTGCCGTCAATTAGCAGCCTAACAGCCTATGATTGTGCCCTTTCTCTAACTGATTCTTTCTTAGAAAAACTCATTCTTGAGCCTGCCCACCAAACGTCTGAACCGAATCCATGCACATGGTCACAGAAAACTGAAGGGCTGGCTGCCACTGCCCCTGCCATATCGCTTCACCAGCATCTAGGCTCTCATTAGTGCCAACGTAAACTCCAAGTTCCTGTCAGAATGAATTCTCTTCAAACAATATTTAGAAAAGATCTTTAATTTGTTTTTATTGCAAAAAAAAAAAAAAAGTGACTCGGGCCCTCCCTGGTGGCGCAGCAGGTTAAAGCACAGCACTAAGAAGCTAAAGCCGCTTCCACATGAGTTCGATCCCCGCCTGCCCCGGAGGTGACCACATGGCGCAGCAGACCTCTCCTGACCCGCCCGCTGCTCCCCTCAGCAGTGTACTTCGTCGATCTGCCTGTTCTGTTCCCTGCTCTGTCCCTGGTGAAGCCTCTCACCACCTCTGTACCTCTGGCCTGTACCCCAGTTCTGTATACACAAATAATCTTTAAAAAAAAAAAAAAGTGACTCAGATCGAGTCAGTGACAGCTGCAGAGCAGATCAGAAAGTCAATATTTAAGAAGTATTGCATCAGTGAATGACTCCCCGTAACAATACAAGAATGGAGGCAAGCAGGTAGTATCTGCTGAGGGTGACAGGTGAGAGAAAATCTGTTATTTTAACCCCATCCAAACAGAATCTCCCTCAGTAAGGAACAAGACCACTGTCTTTCTCAGACCTGCATGATTCATTTCCATAAACCTATCATTTTACAGTCTGACAATAAACTGTGTACGTGACTTCTAAAATGTTCTTTATTATCCAGCACTGAGAAAACACCATTATTAGCGCTGCGCCCAGCTAGGCAGACAGTGAGTCACCCCGAGTAAACACTGTCATGTCGTGACTTGCAGGCACCTTCGGAAGCCCCTGCAGGCTCCACCTGTGTGCCCTGGGGGATGTGCTCTTTCAGTCTGTGAAGTCTCAGGTTCTACCCAGCTATATATGTGCTTGATATGTAGGCTACCCCAATTGGGATGATGGCTGCAGCTCCACACTATCTAATAAGAGTTTGCTATTCAAATTAATACTTCTGGAAACAAGACTACAGGGAGCACTTTTTCTTAAGAAAACAAGCTGTTTCAACATCCTCAGCAAACAATAGCAGATGCTGCCAACCGTAAATTAGTGCTTCTCCATGAACGCAGACTTTAGAAACACCATTACCAGCCCAATTAGCTCATGTAGCTAAAACTAATAAGAGCATTTCTTAGTTTTTGAAAAACATATTTTTCCAATTAATCCTCATTTATGGAACTCACAGTGAATGGATGATGCAATCATCACTGTAAATCAAGAATCCATTTGGCAAATGTCAACTACCTTAATCAAGTAAAATCAACTTAAAATATTACTCAATTTTATCTCAATCAGAATGCCTGCTGCTTTTCACTCCAACTTTACAAATATTTATTAGTAATCCAAGGTTGTATTTATTGAGGAGTAAAAGGAATAGAAGATTGGATCTCTGCCTTCAAGGACTTCTTAATTTTGCTGAAGCAGTTCAGAGATTGTATGGCTGAAAATTCCGATACTGACACGTATTGCAGGGACGATGGGGCAGGCAACGAAAAGGCAGGATACAGAGTAGGCAGAAACCTGTGTGGAACCCTGAGAAATGAGACATTCAGACAGACGAAGAGACAAGTGTACGCTCAGGCAGATGGGAAAGAGCCCCACAAGGAATGGAGGGGAAGGAAACGTGTCCTGTTGGAAAAATTAAGAGGAGCTTCAGTCGCATAATGAGAGCTTAGTGTGAGCAGGGGTTAAGGAAGATACCAGTTACTCCTGAAGGGCAACCTTCAGGGAAGAGGTTTCTGAGGCGGGAAGTCACAGGATGAAAGGTGGAGGTGAGGACTGAATGAATGGAGAATTCTCCGTTCTCCATTACTACTTCTCTCCTGTTTCAGAAAAAATCAGGCAAGGAAAAGCAACCCATTCTTGCCTTTCCCTAGAAAAACAAACAAAACAGAAAAAAAAAAAAACCTTACTAAAAGGAAACAATAAGGTAGAAATAAGGAAAAAAATTTCCCAAAAGATTAGCTAATTCAAACCCTTTGTAGACCTGTTTATAATAAAATCAAGAAGTGTCTACTCTGGAAACTGGCAGCCATGCATGACTTCTCAGGGGAGAAAAGAAAAGCTACAAAGTGAAAAACAAGCGCTGGGAAGAGGAGCAGGGGAACCTCAAGTTCACTCATTACTGCACCCTGAGTCATCCCAGCAGGCATCCCGCAGCTCCGCCTGCATGGTGCAGTCACACCTCACGTCACGCCGGCAGGCCCACAGCAGCACCCGGCACCGGAGGGCTCCACCGCTCCACAGCCAGCAGCTGTTCTGTCTGCATTTCGTGATGTTGCCCCTTCAGATTTCATCATTTTTCAGATTTATTTATTTATGCATTCAGAACTGCAGGACAGGCCAGAGGTACAGAGGGGTGAGAGGCTTCACCAGAGACAGAGCGGGGAGCAGAACAGGCAGATCGACGAAGTACACTGCTGAGGGGAGCAGCAGGAGAGAGAGGAGAGTCTGCCAGGCCCTGGGGGTCACCTCTGTGTCCTGGGATTGAGCACACCCTGAAATGACCTAAAGAGCTGCACCCTAACCCATTGTCCCACCAGGGAGGGCCTTCATCAATTCTTTAAAAGATTTATTTATTTATTTATGCATGCATGCATGCATGCAAGAGCTGGGTGCAGGCCAGAGGTGCAGGGGTGGTGAGAGGATTCACCAGACACAGAGTGGGGAGCAGAACAGGCCGACTGACTGAAATACCCTGTTAAGGTGAACAGTGGGCAGGATAGGAGAGGTCTGCTGTGCCATGTGGGTCCACTCCCTGGCCAGGGATCAAAATGGTACTACAGTTGCTGTGGATAGCTTGACAGTGCTGGGACTTAACCCCAGCACCATGAGGGAGGCCCCCAGATTTCATCTTTTTAAAACAATCAAAAGTTTCAGTTCACTATCTACCAGCTTCTGGAAATTTACGAAAAGAGCTATGATGTGGCCCTCCCTGGTGGCGCAGTGGGTTGGAGCGCAGCACTGCAAGCTGGCCACAGCCACTTCAGTGCGAGTTCAATCCCCAGTCCTGAAGGTGACCCACAAGGCATGGCAGACCTCTCCTGACCGCCCGCTGCTCCCCTCAGCAGTGTACTCCCTCGATCTGCCTGTTCTGCTCCCCACGCTGTCTCTGGTGAAGCTTCTTACTCCTCCACATCGCAGGCCTGTACCCCAGTTCTGTATGCATAAATAAATCCAATTAAAAATTTTTTAAGGCCCTCCCTGGTGGCGCAGTGGGTTGGAGCGCAGCACTGCAAGCTGGCCACAGCCACTTCAGTGCGAGTTCAATCCCCAGTCCTGAAGGTGACCCACAAGGCATGGCAGACCTCTCCTGACCCGCCCGCTGCTCCCCTCAGCAGTGTACTTCGCCGATCTGCCTGTTCTGCTCCCCACTCTGTCTTTGGTGAATCCTATCACCCTCCACATCTCTGGCCTGTACCCCAATTCTGTATGAATAAAAAAATAAATCTTAAAAAAAAAATTTTTTTTAAAAGACTCAGATCCTAAGTATATTAAAAAAAAAAAAAAAGAGCTGTGATGGGGTCCCATCCATTATGTGTGGGCATCAAAACTTCCCATCAGCAAGAGCTCTCACCTTACTTTATTCAGCTGACTTTTTCCCTGTCATCTTGAATTCATCTAAGAACAAGCAGAGATGGGAGTAAATATTGTCCACAATACATGAAATGTTTTGTGCCTTCCAGGACATTTGTGTTGTTTAAAGATTCTGATGAGGAAAATGTGATCTAATATTACTTTTAGACCTAATCCATTCCATAGTATGTCAGCTGGGCAGATTCTGAATTGAAGGAATATACTTGGTTTTACTAAAAATGCATAATTTTGCTTTGTTTTATACTATTTTGTTTTGAGCATTCATTAAAAGGGAATTAAGTAAACTTCAAAAGGTACCCAAATGAAACTCCTAAAACATGAATGAAAAAGTTCTCAGTCACATTTCCCTATTACACAAGGGTTTTTTCATATGAATCTACCATAAATTAAGTGTATAAGCGTCTTGACACTAGAGGATTCTTTGGATTATTCAAGTCAACAAGAGTGCTTTCTACTGTGTAATTTCAGATGGTAAACACAACTCTGACTCTTTCACACATATAGTCAATACTGACGTATTTTTAAGATTTTTATCCAAACCTAGTTTCCATTAGCTATATGATATTTTTATATGTTTGTTTCAGTTAAAGTAGAATGTGATTACATCCCTGAGCTTTCACTTTTGGTGAAGGCTGAAGACTCATTTAAAAAACAGTGCTGATGAAAAAACAAGAAAAATAAGATCTGATAATCAGATTAAGTAAAGAAATTTCTCAGCAATGCAACACAGAATAGTTTGCTTTCTTAAACAAGCAGAGGAAAACAGAACACAAAAACTATCCAAGAAAAATCCTCTGTCAAGATTAAACTATGAAAGTTTATAGTACGATTCAAAATATGGTAAATCATCTAAAATGTATGTATTTCATCAGAAATTGCTCTGGCTCAATCAGCAGCTGGCCCTGGGCCTGCCCATATAGCGACAAGATTACAGCAGCCCATAGACATGTAACTAGATATTAAAGTCACCAACGAAGCTAACAGATCATGGGTTAAAATGGTCCATCATTGTGTTCTGTTTAATTTACCTTCATAATGGCCTGGTAAGTCAAGTTTAAATTTGGGGGCGGGGGGACCTGGGGAGGCAGCTTGGGAACAGGGAGAAGAACCAAGATCAAAACACATTCCAGAGGTGGAAATGACACAGCTGTAACTGACGAGGATGTGGGAACTGAGGAAGAAGGGAGAATTAAATGTGACTCTCAGGCTTCAGATTTGAGGAACTCGGTAGATCATGGGATCACTTCACAAGAGAAGGAACCATGAATTTATGAGGCACTGCAGGGGTTTAGTGGTGAGTACTGTGGCTGTCTACTCACATCCAGTCCAACACCCTCCACTTGAGGCAAGGTTTGATGAAGGTGAGAATTAAACTACCCTCTGCCCCAGAGGCACAAATCCTGATTTTGCAAGGTAACAGCACA